CTGGTAAGAGTGACCATCGGCCGGATAGTGCTGTCCACCGTAGTGATGTCCGTGGTGACCGTCGTACTGAGGAGATATCGGACCCGGTGGCATGTCTGAAAATCCACCGTAAGAATTGTAGCCGTGATCCACTGGCATGCCGTAGCCTTCGTCACCGTAGACACCCGGGTTGTAGTGCTCGTAAGATTCAGGCCCGTTGGATGGCTGCTGCACAGCGTTTCGAGCATGGTGGTAACCTGGAGAGAAGCTGTCTGGATAGGCACCTGGATCGGCTACGTCTTGAGGTGGTGGCGGCGGAGACGAAGGTGGCGGTGGAGGAGGAGTGCTCGGAGGCGGAGAGGAAGGTAGCGGAGGCGGACTGGGAGGGGGACAGATCGGGAGCGGCGGACCTGTAAGAATGGACGCTGGAGAAACGTACTGCCTTTGCCAGGTATCCGTCTCTGGCGAGACGTCCTCCATCTCGAGCTCCCCGTCCACGTCTTCCAGGACATGACGATGTCTCTCCACGGGATCGTGAGGTGTAACAGTCGCAACTGCGTAATCTTCACCGGCGTTTGCTTCCGTTCCACCCGCGTTGGCTTCTTCTTCGTCTTCAAACATACGCGGGATACTGACACCAGGTAACGTAAAGCTTGCATTGCTGCAAGAACTTAGAGAATTGACAACTCCGAAAGTATAAAACGAGAACTTACCTTCCATACTCGTCGACTTGCATTCCTTCCATTTCTCGTATGGGATCATCGACGGGGCGTTCGTTTCTAGCAGGCCGTCGGCTCATATTCATAAGCACTCTGTCGCAATTGTGTAGCTCAATCTCACGCATGAAGTGCCGTATGACAGTCGGGGGAAATACATTTCGTTCATGCCAGAGTTTAAACACCTGCAAGACCACATAGCTTAACTGTCAAGAAGAATGCAGGTATATGCACAAACCTTACTTTTAAACATTGGCGACGGTTCTCCCTAGCAAAATTCCCCGGTGGTGCTGCAGAGCTTAACAACCGGGGTAAGGCATTGTGTACAATGTGTCGGTACACGCCAGCGGGTGTACCTGGAACAAAGCACGCAAAGTTAGAACTCCAGGAAAAAGTAAAGGAAAACATGCATCTGTACCTCGCAAATTATGTGAACTCACAGTAATGGAATCCACAAGAAAGAATAAGTCGATGCGCCGGGATAAGCTTTGCTCCGCTTCCAATCTCTTCGCTATGATATCGATTACCTGATAACAGCAACGTCAATACAATATATATGAAAGTCAAAAGGATCGAAAGAAACCTGGTCGGCAAGATTGAGCTTAGCACAATCTATAGCCTGCCGTGTCGCACAATGTATGCTCTCTTTGGCGCGAGACAAATTGTCCAGTAACCCCTCAAAGACATTCCTCGCAGTCTCCGCTTCATCATTAGCAGTCGGCAGAGAAGGTAAATCTTTGCTCGCTCCAGAGGCCTGCTCCATAACAATTTCAGGTCCGGTACCAACATCCATCGGAGTCACAGGTCCTGGTACTTTGGACTGAACTGCTGCCATTATATACTTCATAGACGTGGATGTATCACCGTCTTTTGACGCCAGCTTCTGCTTCAGCTCCTTGGCAGCTTCATACCTGTAAATGTGAACCAGTTTTAAGAAGAAACGTTCACTAGATAGCAGAAAATACTTACGCTTTCCGAACATTGTTGTCGCTATGAGGCTTCGACGCTGAAATATCATTCAGCTTGAATGAATCCTGATGTCCTGCCGCCTTCGTTCTCAAAGAGCTTGTTCTCGCAGACGTGTGTTCGTTTTCACTCGCTAAAGATTCACCGGAGTGGCTTTCAGTCGTACCTCTTTCTGAAACAAGACTGGAGGTTTCCGTTCCATGTCTCACGGGAGAATGCCTCCTCATTTTGGAGTTCGAAGTTTTTGGTTTGTCCGTAGAAAGGCCCCTAGCCTTCGTCGTACCGGGAGAAGTCTCGGAGATTCCAGGCTTTGAAGAGTGCCGACTGCCACGTCCAGAAGTATCAAGCTTCTCAAGCTGAACCTTGGTGCCACCTTCGCGTGAAGACTTCACCGTAACAGCATGATCAAAAAGCACTTTGTTTCCTTCTTCTCGAAGTGCCGGAGAAACTGGAGAATATCTCATACTTCCGGGAGAGATCTTCGCTGGAGACATACTCTGTAGCCTCTCTAGCGCTGTTTTCGCAAGAGCACCATCCTTTCGATATAAAGAAACCTCAAAGTGGTTTTCCAGTTTCCTCTTGTCCTCTCCTCTGTGAAACTTCGACAAGTGTGAAGAACGCCCCCACCATGCAGACGGCGAGTTCTTCTCCGGCTGCCTTCTTTCTTTCGGAGCTCCTTGCCCATCAATAGACAGACGACCTTTGCTAACAGGCTCGTCCCTTCGGACTAGAGACTCCGCGTGAAATCGAGCAATCTGACCGTCATCCGCCCTCGGAGACACGGGAGAATACTTCATGTCAGCCATACTTGGAGTTTTAGCTTCTGAGTTTTCCGCGGTGCTTTGAAGCTCGTCACTCTTCGATTCAAACTCCAGAACACCAGCTTTTACGTCACTCTTGCCCTCGGAAAGATCCATGGAGACGGGCGACAATGCAGAAGACAAGGGAGTCCTATCCTCTGGATTGGGAGTCCTATCCTCTGGATTGTCCACGACAGTAACATTCTGAGTTCCACCAGCATCAGAAGGAGGTCCTGTTTCAACATCCCTTCTGTCTTCCCCGAGAGTGTTACCGGATGGACTTGCCTGAACCTTAGCTTGAGATGAAATAGCCGACTCTGCCTTTACTACCAGTTCTTCTGCAACCTCTACAACTTCTTGAACAGCGGGACTGACGGGGGTATCCTGAGTAGCTTCGGCCTTCACTGAAACTTGGATACTGGTCACCGAGAGGACTTCTGATTGCTGCAGATCTTCACTGCCCAGGCCAACCGACGCAGGGTCCATTTCCTTGTCCACAAACTCTTTAGAAGTAACGGTGACCTCCTGTAGCTTATCAGCGTCATCAGCGACACAATTCTTGACCACCACCCCCTCACTCAATCTCGTCTGCTCAGTAGAATCGGACTTCTGGCTGACGTTGTCAGGTGTTTCCTCCACCTTTGCATCCCTAGCAGTTTCTTCTTTGGCAGCTTCTGCGACGCACGCGGTCATAGCTTCTAAGGCACGATGAAGTCGCTTTGATGGAGGAAGAGCCGCTTCACTGTCTGCAAGACTGTTGCGCATTCTATACTTCTCTGCTTTAGGAGGTAAGCTAAGTCCAGTATACTTCTCCTCGAATCTCGGTTTTCCATCTGATGCTCTCTCTTCTGTTGCCTTCGTCGACTCTGAACCATTGCAAGTCGGTGTGTCCGTTGTCGACGAAGGTGGTGAATGTGGGGCTCCCCTTTTCTCCTCTTCCTCGCTGTGCTTATCAAGCGCTGGCTCCTTCGCAGCTCTAGCTCTGGCTCTCTTCACGATAGGTAGATTACTATCAGGATCTTGAGTGATTGGAGACGTCTCGTTAGAAGTGTCCGGCTTATCTTTGTTGTGATCAGAGTCTGTTTCCGCGGACCTTGATTCAAAAGCCGGTCGAAGCCTCTTCTTCAACGTAACCTTCCGCCTAAACGTGTACTCTTGAAACTCATCTGCGGTTGGTGGCGTAGCGTGGTCCTCGTCGCTATTATCCTGAAAAAATAAATGTAAGTCAAGTACCGTTGGATGCCATAACTTACATCTTTCCGAACCACTCCTCGAGGCGTAGATGCTTTCACAGTCATCTGCTTCCTCTTCTTCCGACAAAAATTCGGAGGGAATACAGGCGTCGTAGAATTTACAGGTGCTGACTTCCTAGACTTCGCGGGCGTCCTTTGCTTTGCGGGCTTCTCAGCCTTGCCAGCCTTCTTCTTGTCCGCTCGCACGGCAGAAGGTACATTGACAACCTCCTCGTTGAAGAAGTCAAAACTGTCAAAGGTGTCGAGCTCTTCGTGCGAAGCGAAATTCGTCTGGACCTTCTCGTGCAGCACAATTCCTTTCGGAGTCGTATCATCGTCCGAATTCCCATCCAACGAGCTACCTGATCCCCATCCTAAATCGTAGTCCTCCATCTCTGACGTCCCCCCATTCCCTGCCTGCCCCTCTACGTCAAGCTTACCACCTAGATCCATTACACAACTAGCCTCGCCATCTTCTAGCTCCCTAAACTCTATCCCGCTTCTACCATTCATATCTCCATCTCCCGAGCCTACTTCTACCTTCTCGGCTACGTCGCAGATCTCACTCACCGCAAGGCGAAGGTCGGCCGGCGTACACTTCGAGTGGGCTTTAGCGACGAGCGAAGCTTTGGCCTCCGGAGTGAACTTCGAGATCTCGGAGTGATGGCAAAATCGTCTGGAAGAATTCATTCCAGCGTCAACAAGAGTAAAACTAGCTATTGATAACAAAGGGCGAAAGAAAAAAGGGGCTACTTACATCTGCTTAGTTCCAAAGAAGACCACGAACACGCGGGCCGGATTGTGATGCTGACCAAATGCCTCTGGTTTGCTCACCTACAGGGATCTTCGCCTTCTTGTTATCAAGAATTTCTAGCAAAAGGCACAAAGAAGAAGCTCAAATTACCTGGGCCGGCCATGCCGGGAATCCCTTCACCTTTGCCAGCACCAAATCCCCCACGCTCCATTCGGCGGCAGCGGCAGCGGCAATCGACGAGCTCCTGCCTCGCTTCTTGCTCGGCGCCATCGGACGAAATCCACCGCTAGCCCATCCTCCCGCGAAGAAGCGTCATCGCGAGCAGAAGCGCGAGTGGAAATCATTCAGCCGAGCCCTTTCCTAGCCCCGGCGGGATCCAGCGCTCGCCTAGACCAGCTCGTCATGCCACAGCGCACTAAACCCTAGCGCTCTCTCCCCCGTCACACAACCCTAGATAACAAATCCGTGCCGTCCACTGGCGCCAATCGACGGCCGGCTAGAGACATGCATGCGTGTTGCCCTCTTCCCAGCTCTAGATCTCGTCCAAGAGCCCTAATTCTCTCGTGGGAGGTGTGAGAGAGACGACCAAGGCCATGGGATTCGAACGCTCGCACTTAGGGTAATTGTTCTCTGTGTAATCGATCGATCGATCGAGAGTTCTCCGATCGATAGCAAAATCTCTCTCGCGGAGAATGTGTGTGGCAATATGGGCGCTGGAGGAGCATCCGATCTACAAATTCATCCTCACGCACAACCGCGATGAATTTCACTCGAGGTAGGCTCTTCGATCGATCGATCGGGCTTTCGAGCTTAGTTAGAGAAATTTCTATCACAGGGAGTCTTGCCCCGCTCACTGGTGGAAGGAAGAGCCGGGGAATATTCTCGCCGGTCGCGATGGCAAGGAAGGAGGCACCTGGCTGGGAATATCCGCGACTGGCCGCCTGGCGTTTGTGACGAATATTCGCGAGCCACTCGAAAAGAATGCCGCTGTCTCGAGAGGATTTTTGCCTGTGCAGTTTCTACAGGTATGACAACACGGTTAGTTCTTTCTTCTTTCTTATGAACAGTGTTCTAAACCTTTTTTTTTTTAATCTTCTCTAGAGCGAGTTGAATCCAAAAGACCACATCGACCAGCTTTCCTCACAAGCGATGAGCTACAATGGTTTCAATCTTGTGGTGGCGGATGTACACTCGGGAGAAATGGCTTGCTACTCGCACAGCCTCAAACTCGGGGATACTCTCACGCACGATATCTCGAGAGGCATTCATGGAGTGAGCAATGGAGTTTTCGAATCAAACTGGCCCAAGGTTTGGATAGTTTTCCTGACGCTCTTTTTGTAGTTCTTCGTTTTTTTTGCTAACTTTCGTGTCACCCAGGTTGATAGGGGCAAACGCAAACTCAAAGAGCTACTCGAGAGGTATCCGAACGAGGAAATCCCCGATAAGATCATCATCGACGAGCTCTTGCGCGATGGACGAGTTTTTGAGGACTCGGTTCTCCCGGCGACTGGCGTCACTCTGGAACGGGAGCGAATGCTCAGCCCACTCTTTGTCAGCCAGGTTTGCTCAGCTCTTCCAAACTTCCTGGCGATTTTTCTAGCTTCGATCTTGCCAGGAGCAGTATGGAACGATCTGTATGACGATCATAGCCGCGCGGCGAGACGAGGTCGTGTCAGTGTATGAAGAGTACTTGAGCGGCGGGGTCTGGAAGAACCACAAGGTAGAATTCGCAATGAAGAAGCTAGAATCGTCGTTAAACTAGCGCGAGCGTTCCAAAGAGGTCTGTGTTGTAGGATCTAATCTAAAGTTTTCTTGTGGAGCAACACTTACGCTAGATGGAATGGCCAGAACCATAGAAACTGGCCTTAAATGTAATAAATGATTAATTTACACTGTTTGCATTAAGTAAAATTTTTTTCTTAACGTAAACAAGGAAATGTTGTTCGAGCCAAAGGTTTAAACTTGTTCTTCTTGGAGCGCCTCGGGGAGGCGATCGATCGATCGATGGCGCCCCTACATTGAGTTCTTCTCGGCTTTTGATCAGTCGGTCCGCTCGCGATGATGGCGTCGATGAAGATCCAGCATGTCCTCACGGCATTCCCTCCGCCGCGATCGCCGAGCTTGTGCCGGTCCGGATTGGAAGCCTCGAGGAGGGATTTCGCGCCGAGGCCAGGGTTCTCTACGGCGTGCTCGCGGCGGACGCGCTCAAGATCGAAGGTAGCGTGCAGGTTCTCAAGGATTCCAGCGGCGAGGAGATCTTTTTCGCCATCAAGCACGCCGTGGTGAGCACCGATCGAGATTTCCCAAGGGAGCAAGAGTAGCGGCCAAGGAGCCGAGTCCTTCAGGGGGATTCTATGGCCAGTCTTCGTCGATCGCGATCCTCTCCTTCGACAATCCGGCCAACGTGGAGGTTCTTTCTTTTCTCAGCGAGAGGCAGCTCTTGCGATTCCAAGGTATGAGCCCCGCGGAGATAAGGCTGGAAGAGAACAAGCTCTTCAAAGATGGGAGCTTTGAGGGCGCGCTTACGCCATGAGCATTGCCAAGTGCGACTGTGCGAGGAAGAAGGGCATCAGAACCAGCGCGAGCGTGTCCTCGCTTTCTCCGATTCGGCGGAGTGCTACCTCAGGCTGGGACGATACGAGCAGTGCATTGATGCCGCCAGCGCTGCTCTTGCCATGGATCCTACCCCATGTCAAGAGCATCCATCGAAAAGCGGTGGCTTTGATCAAGCTTCAGTGCTACGAGTGGTCGTGGCAACTCTTGAGCGACGTCCTTGGGGTGTAAGAAGGCAGAGTCGAGGCCCCAGCCGTGCTATGGAGGAGCTCTCCAACTTTCTTCGAGCTTGGAGCGATGGAGAGGAGGCGCCGAAGATTCCAGAGTTTGCCGAGTTCGTTGGCCAGGTCGAGGTGAAGATGTGCGAGGCAGAGCCAGGGGCGACGCAGGGGACTATTTGCGACGAGAGAGATCAAGCGAGGCGAGCTTCTCATGATCTGCAACCTGGTGGTCTTCGAGAAAGGTGACAACGAGTCCGCTTGCAAGAGAGACGCCGCTACACGGCTTATTGTCCGCGAGCGTACAAGCAGATCTACAGCCTGGTTTGCGAGGTGGCGGGCACCGATCGAGAAATACCGGGAATGGAGCTCTTCCGGTCAAACTGGGCCACGCCCGAGACCTGGTCGAGGATCAGGAGCGACGAGAGCAGTGCCAGGGAGGAGCTTCAAGGCATCGAGGTGAAGAAGACTTTCGAGATTGTAGGCAAAGCGGGATTCAATCCCAAGCTGCCCGGGACCGGACCGACCAGGCGCCTGCTGTATTCCTCTATCTGGCCGCTGCCGAGCTTCATCAGCCACTCTTGCGTCCCCAACGCCTCGCTCTTCGGCAACACGACCTGTTACTTCGCAGCGAAGGACATCCAGGCCGGGGAGGAGATCGTCCACAACTACATCGTGCCAGGCCATCCATACAGGCGGAAAAGGCTCTCGTACAAGTGCTCGTGCAAGAAGTGCGAGCTGGAGCATAGGCTGGAAAGGATCTCGCGGAGGTGGCGGGTTGCTACAGGGACTTGCGAGAGACGAACTTCGTGTTGACAGTGAAAGAAGGGACCAGATGGTGGCGAAGCTGGAACGTGTGCTGGCGACGAAGCTCCAGGAGGAGGTCCACTGGTCGCTCTACATCATGTACTACCAGGAGCTCAATGCTGGAAAAGCGGTGGCGCTTCCAGAGGGGATTGTTCCAGCGGCGGAGCGCATCATGGGCGCGATGCACCGGTTCTCGGCGGCCAACTTGCCACTGTTGCTGGAGACGGTGGCGAAGTATGCCCGGGACAAGGACGCAGTGCAGAGGATCAAGGTGGAGGAGTGGGAGCGTAAGTTTGGCAAGCAGGAGGAGCGCGTTGCAAAGGCCATCCAGGAGAGGAGCTGGGAGCTCGGCACACTGCTACACGAGGCGGAGCTGGCTGCCTCCCTACGTGCGTAAGCGGATCTCTCTCGCTCTCTCTCTCTCCTTTGTGATCGATGTTTCCAGGAAAATGAATTACGTACGCAACTGACCACCTTCCAGCGTAAGTCTCTCTCTCTCTCCACTGCTGCTGACTTTGTGATCGATCTTCCCAGGAAAACGAATTACGCATGCAATCGTTCAAAAACAAGGCTCTACACTTGAAAGCATTTCAAGCTAGCAAAATGACCGATGGTTAGTCTCGCTGTAAGAAACGCTTGACAACAACCTTTGTGTGTGCCAGTCTCACTGGAAAAAAAGAAGACCTCATCAAATGGAGAAGACAATTAACTGTCCAGTGAAGGCGAGGAGGAGCATTCGATTGGAGAAGTCTGGATCGAGAATGTGAGTGGCTTCGATATCTTCTTCGTGCTCTCCCAGATTGCATACTCGGAGCCCGCCATTACGAGCTTTTAAGGGGATGATTTTGGAAGCAAAGGTCATGTCAAATGAGATCTTGCCTGAACAGATGGATTTTTACCTTGGACCAAGCTTCAAAATGAGTCGATGCGGAGTTTGGATAGTTTCAAGAGTCTAGAGACTTCTTTGACAACACAATCTCCATGAATTTCCAGCTCTTGCGAGCCATTGCACCTGAGCTGTGGTGAGCACAATCGAATTCCTTTCTCAGAATCAGGGCAGGCCAATGAAGTTCACGAGGAATTTGGCAGCAGCACCACAGTTGTAGAGGTCCTTTAAATCTTCCTCAAGCTTGCTTAGAATAAGCGCCATTTTGAAAAAAAACCTAATAACTTTTGATTCTTCTTCAATAACATGTTAGATTGTAAGCCTAAACATTGAAACTTATTGGAATAGCAAAATATACAAAGCTATTTACGTAATTTCTTCTTGCTGGATTCTTCTTCCTCCTCGTCTTCTTCCTCGTCTTCCCCTTCGTCTTCGTACTCCACCTTGCATTCCTCCACGACTTTCTCCACATCGTGGAGATTGGAGACCATGTCTGGCACTTCCTCCATGATCCGGTTCACTGTCTCGCACGACATATCGCTGGTTATCTTCACTTCGATGTTCTCATCGCCAGTTTCGGAAGGCCCCGACTTGACGACGATGATCTCCGGCTCGCTCGGAGCCACTCCAGCCATCTTCTTCGTGCTCTCCCAGATTGCATACTCGGAGCCCGCCATTACGAGCTTCCAAGTTGATGATTTTGGAAGCAAAGGTCCCATGTCAAACCTGTGCCGAGCTCACAGCTAAGAGATCTTGTCTTGCCATGAAACTAGAGATGGATGTTTACCTTGGACCAAGCTTCACAATGAGTCGATCTGCGATTGTGGCAACGTACATGTCGAAGTCCGCTGCCTGGATCTTGATCTTACTCTCCGCGTTTATTTTGTTCCGTAGCCTCAGCTCCAATAGCTGGTTGATCTGTTCTTGCAGCCCCCAGTAGAAATAGTGATCGTAAAACTGCGAGAAAGGAAAAGAGGCGCCAATCAGAGCTTGAAACAAAACGAAGATGCTCTCCTTACAATACATGGAATCCCAGGATGCGTGAGAATGTAGACATAGCCGAGATGGACTTTCTCGTCGGGAAAGTGCCAGTGCCTCTGGGTCGATCCGGTATCGTGGTTATCCACAAACGTGACCGCTTTCTTTGGATACCAACCTGCAAGTTTGTCCAGTGTTGAGCAACAAAAACCACTGCAAAGTTCCAGAGATAAACATACCGACTAGACCAGGAGGCCTGCCTTCCTTGTCCCGCAGACGCCACAGCTCCATCTTCACGGCCTCTTGCAAGACTCCTTTGGTGGTGAAATCGAAAGCACATCCCCAGCCGCCGGTCCCGTCGATCCAGTCGCAGAGCTGCTGCCTGTGAAAATCTGCCACAAGACAAAGTTCCTCAAACGTGAGTTCATCGAGCTCAAAATTCTCTATCCAGCAAGCCACTACTGACTTTGATCGGCAGCTAGACGACCGCTGACGTAATTCAGCGACGTCCACAACTCGCCAACAACAAAACTCGGGTCGGTTCTCTGACAGTACCTGATGATCAACACGCCTGTTCCTGATCAGTTCTATAGTTTCTACGACTACTCCTCCACCTCTACTTACAATTTGGTGTACTTGGGAGCGTAGCCTTTGACGAAATCAAACCGCCACCCATCGAAACCAATCTCAGCCTTCATCCAGTTCAACCAGTCGGTCAGCTCGTCCTGCACTTGCTTATTAGTATGGTCAAGGTCTGGAGCAGCTGCGTAGCTCTCACCAGTGTCCTGCTTGCCTTGGCCACCACTCCTATAGATATCATTGCACACTACTGCCCAAGGCCCCCAATCCAGCCTCTTATCCGGAGTTCCACCTTCAAAGATGTTCCAGTGACCCTGAGCATCCTGTTTCCATCCACTGCGATGGTTTATCACTATATCAGCGATGCAGCAAATGCCCTGCTCGTGGAGAGTGTCGATGAGCTCCTTGAGCTGCGCCTCGTTTCCATACGAGGAGGAGTTTAAGTCGTAGAGCTGACTGGGAAGATAGCCTGAAAAGAAAAACAAACGAAAGAACAGTCAAGAACTTCGCTAGGAAGAACAGTGGGGAGCTTACCTTGTCGATCGACTGACTGCGATGGCGGAGGAAGCCAGATATCAGTGACACCGGCTTGGGCGATGACGGGAGCCTTCTCTTTGAGGTCTACATACCAAGGTTTCTTGGAATGAGATTCCCAGTTGAATCCCTGCGAAGAACATAGAAAAGAAAAAACTTCGATGGCAAGGTCTATAAACAAAAAACGCGAACCTGGAAGAGTATGTGATTCGAAGGACTCGCTGGTTTGGGCCGCTTAGCTCGGACTCGAGCACTCTTTACTTGTGCTTCTTCTTCTTCTTCATCTTCATCGTCATCATCTTCTTCTTCTTCTTCTTCTTCTTCCTCCTCTTCTTCTTCCTCATCGTCTTCGCCATCGTCTTTGCTCCCAAACACCGCTCTAAGCCTCCTCTTCCAGGCGACATTGGAGCTCTTCTCCAGCGGCCGCCCACACAAGCCACATTCCGCCCTACACGACCATCGCGCGCTACTGCTACTTTCAATCCTGCCTAGATTCCTTACATTCCTCCCGGAAATCAGCAGCAGCGATCCTCCCTCGCGATCGCAAGCGTTGTGATTCGCGATCCATGGCGGACGCGCCGCCGCCACCGCTGCCATTCCCTCCCGCCCCTGTTCTTCCCGCTCTAACTCTAAACCTCTTTCGATCTGCCACGTGGGATATTACGTGGAAGGCCATAGCCACAAGGACGCCACGTCATTAAGAGCGACAGAAAAGAGAAAAGAGGGAAAAGGGAAGAGAAAAGAGAGGGAGAGAGAAGAGAGAAAGGAGAAGAGATAATGGGTGTTGCTTGTGTGGAAAATGCTTCCCACGACGATTTATCCGCTAGAACTTGCAAAGAGCAGCGATCGATCATGGACGCGCTCGCGCTCTCCAATGCCGCCTACGAGCCCAGCCTCGCGGGAGCAATGTCCTACCTGGAATGCGCGATCCAGGGGGGAGTGGAGCTCATCCATCACCAAGGAATCGATCAAATCGGCAGCGCCAGCAGCAATCAAGCGCTGCTGTGCTGCCGGGTGCGCGAGACCGCGCAAATCCTCGTCAGCTGCCGCGGCACATCCAGCCTCTGCGACGTCGTCCAGGATCTCAAGCTCCTCCCAGCCAGGCTCACGTATCACGACGCCGCCGCGCACTGGGGATTCGCCGAGCGGGCGGAAGGAATCCCCCTCGATCCATATGCCAATCTCATTGATTCCGGCGAGAGGATCACATTCACGGGGCATTCGCTGGGCGGCGCGGTCGCATCGCTGCTGGCGCTGCGAATGCTGCGCGAATTGGACCGCGAGGAGCGCGAATTCGCAGAGAATCGCGAGGATTTCTGCCCGGAAGAACAGGGGAAGGAGACGAGGATCAAATGTATCACGTTCGGGGCGCCGCTGTTCGCGAGCTCACATCTGGCGGAGCTCATCACCGCGCGGTACAGTGCGGTATACCTCCACGTCGTGCAGCGCGGCGATTGCGTGCCAAATCTCATCCCCTTTCTCTCGACGGTCAAGAGGCTCTTCAGTGACGACGATCACTGGGAGGGCTTTCGCGTCGTGCGCCGCGCGCTGGGATCTCTCCTCCCGACGCTGGGCTCCTCCATCGTCTCAGCAATCCCGGCGCCAATTGGGTTCTTGCTGCGATCGGCGCTCCGGCTGGCAGTGATCCCCCGATCGCTCTCCTACGGCTTTGCGGGCCAGATCCTCACGGTCGATGCCTCCAGTCGGTCCTTCTGGGTCTCGGGCTCCGATCGATTGAACGCCTGGCACTCGCAGCTCGTCATGGCGATCAGTGCCGCCAGGGACGCCGTGAAGAACAGCCACCATCACAGCCTCCTGAGCTACAAAATGGCCATGGATTTCACGATTTCATCGTCTTGTTCTTATCAAAGGTTCCAAAAACACGATCGATCATGGCTGGGATTCGCAGTGGCATCGTCCATCGCGAGCGCAGCAAATGCCTTTCATGGGCATTGCTTTTGCAAGAAACTCCACGCTCCAAGAGAACAAAAGAGACACCGGCGATTCCAACGGCTGGGATGGCTCCTGGGGTTTATCGGGAGAATATCCAGGCACCTTCGCGCCATTCAAACAATGTGCCTCTACACGCTCCTCAACACCGCATTGAGCAGCTTAGTTTACAGATCGTTGCTTGTTTCGAGGCTCCAATTCTTAGCACTGTAAAAATCAAAATCAAAGTTCTTCCAAGAAACCAAGAAGTTTTTGTTAGTTTTCTTCGTTGATTGTTTCGAGGCTCCAATTCTTAGCACTGTAAAAATCAAAATCAAAGTTCTTCCTTGCTGGTTCTTACGAAGTTCTTCCAAGAAACCAAGAAGTTCTTGTTAGTTTTCTTCGTTGATTTTTTCGAGGCTCCAAATCTTAGCACTAAAGAAATTAAAAAGTTCTGGAAGTGTTGGAAGTTCTCGTGGGTAGTTTTCATCGTTGATTCAAATGCAAAAGATTGATTTCACGCCTTGCCTGTTGAAACAAACATGTCAATCACAAGGACAAGGGGCTCTCATCCTCTCGTGGCACGAAAAGATATGAAAGATGAAGTGGCTGTGCAAGTAGACGCGAAATCGATTGTCAATCCGTACCTTCGCGTGGAAAAGTTGGCAGATCTTTTCTGATAGCCTTGGACCGCTGGGACTTTTGGCCTGTGTTAAGACAAAGTTTGAATTGCCAAAACATAACACCTACAGAATTCATCTACTGCAAAAGGGATGTATGTGCTTCCAAAAGACATGCTTTTCATTCCGGACATTTGATGAGGACGACCCAGCAAACACAACAACACATTGTTGAGGCAAGCATTTCGACACATTTCTGGCCCACATTGAGAAGCCTAATTATCATCTACTTGCAGCGAAAAACAAGGAGAAAAAGGAAAGAAAATGAAAGCCAAACTGCCATTGGATGATTTCTGAAAGCCAACACACCATACATCTGTAGATATGAAATAAAACTTTAATGTGCTTTGGTACAAGTGTGATACTTTGCAGTCAATCAGACAAAGAGCCACATCATGCCGTGGGAGTGGGGACTGTTTTGCCGATTTACCCATTGACAAATTTTGTCAAGGAATTCCGCATCTGTATCGCCGATGTACTACGGATCAACACTATACAAACTCAACTCGCACAGACACTTCAAATCCTATTATAACCGCTGTAAGGCTTGGAAATCTTACACGTCTTGTACAAGAGCTGCGGACCACTCGGCCCAGTCGGCGGGCTGACCTGCAAGTCACAGGTCAAGCGCACCAAAATACTCGGGCTCACCGTCCGCACCACCTTGACCTTCCCCTGCGCGCTGATCTCCGCCACCAAATTCACCGCATTCCGGCTCATCTCCGCCGACATCTCCCTGCTCACAAGCTTCTGAAGGCTAGGGTTTCCCACCATCTCCACCACCGCCAACTTTCTCTCCCGGTGCCCCTGCATGAACGGCTCCATGTACGTGCTAACCAGCTGCAAGTTCCGGTAGAGAATGTCCACCCGGATCTTGTTGTAGTAGACCACGATCTGCGTGTTTGGGTTGTAGGCGTTGATGGTGAGCAGCAAGTCGAGGTCGAGCAGCGAGTTGAATTCGTAGTCGCCCAGAGTGGCGTTCGAATCGGTGATGGTGAGCAAGAGCGACGAGACCTCCACCGCGTCGATGGAGAGCTTGGGCGCTCTCGGGCGGACGATGATGTAGAAGCACAGCGCTGCGATGGCCGCCAGGACGAGGAGGAGGAACAAGACGCAGCAAGTCCAGCAAATGCAGCGGCACCATCGCGGGTAGCGGCGCCGCGATCGCGAGGATCGAAACCCAAGCGGTGATCCTCCTCCTCCTGCGCGATTCGCTGGCGGAGGAGGGCTTACGCTGTTGGAGGTGCTGTGGAGATTGGCGACGTACTGGCTGTTGCTGATGTGAAGATCCGGGCTCGTCGTCGCAGCGCTTGCTAGGGCTCCTGGATCACGATCGGAGGAGTGATTTGCCTCCAAGCTCCCCGGGGGCTCGTCGATCTTGAGGTTTTGATAGCCGATCTCCTTGGAGGCCGGGGAGCGCTGGAGTGTGAGCCTGTTTAGGATGGAGTTCTTGGCCATCTCCTCATATCCCTCCTCCGCGGCGCGAGAGATACTGAAGCGACCCAGCCGACGCCACGGCAGCCCTAGAAATTTGAATAAGATTCGATGGGTATATTTTTCTAGGGCTGGGGGCTGTGGGCTAGGTAGGGCTTTTGGATCTGCGGCTTCGTCCACAATGGTGAGTTTGATCTGGCTTAGTTTTTAGCTCTTGATCTAGAATCCTTGTGAATTCTTGTGTGATTTTTCTTACATTGTTCTTCTCGTTGTGCTTTCTATTTTTCTTCGCTATGATCGACAGTTTTTCCGGAATTCTGTCTCTCTAACGATTTCTTCGTTGTTTTCCTAGAAGTGTATGGATGGATTCATGGATACAGTTTTTCTACTAGCTAGAAATCTATGAGTTATAGCTGAATTTCTGCGATTTTATGCTTGTGTATGATCGACGACTCTTCTGGATTTTTTGATCGTGAATTTTCGTGTGCATAGTTCTTCTCGTTGTGCTTTTCTTTTTCTCTTCGTTCCCTTTCTGAAAGTGTATTGGAGTCATGGATACACTTTTTCTACTAGCTAAGGCTATAGCTGAAGTGCTGCGGTTTTATGTTTGCTTTGTGTTCTTTAGCTTTGAGATTTTGTCTTCGCTATGGTCGACGGTTTTTCTTGAATCTTGATCTAGAATTCTTGTGAATTTTTGTTCTCGTTGTGCTCTTTTTATCTAATGATTTTCTTCCCATGGATTTTTATGCTTGCTTTGTGTTCTTTGCTGCTCTGCTGAGAAATTTTTCCTTCGCAGGCTGTAGCTATCAGCAGCCCAGTTCCTGAGGGATTATATCCGCTTCTAACAATTCTATTCCTCACTGTTGGCCTCGTCTTGACGGCGAGTTTTTTCATGTAAGTCCTTCACTTTGTGATGTGATCTGAGTGCTTATATATCGTTCGCAGATATGAGATCACAACTTCTAGCCTCAGTCGAAGCTTCCCACGGGAGATTTTGACCGGAGGAGCGTCATCGATTTTCCTGGTAGGAGTTTCATGTTTTATTTTCGATCTCTAGACTCACAAACACGAGCACTGTTTGATTGTAGGGACTTGGAGCACTGTTTCTACTTCTTTCCACTGGAGTTTATGTCTAGTAGTATGAGAAGCGCTTTGCCGCGTCGCAAGAACAAATCACCGTAGAACAATCACTCTCCCAGGCGTGGAATTTATCGTCTTTGGGAACTTTAACTACGTTATCTTGGGTTTTAATGGTTCTTCCTTTCTTTTTTGCTCGGCTTTGCTCACTTTGGCAGGAAGCTTCGTCATGAATCCACATGAGGCACATGAAAGCGAGCCAATTCAATGAGATCGCGCAAAAGAATTGGGTGAAAATGACAACGCTGTCCAGCGGTACGAGAACTGTAGTAAGAAGATTTCTCCATTCGTTTTTTTTCATTGTGAAAGAACATGGGACGCAGTGACAAGGTTTGGATTTTGAGCCAGGTGACGAGTCAGAACGTTTAATCACAAACAAACGAACCAGGAATCGAAAGAAAAATTCGAGGGGGATAAGAAGGTACGCTCTTTCTATTGTTTCTATTCTTGCCTGCTTTCCTTCTTGCATGAGTTGTACACCACATCTCTCAAGTCTGTAAAGTTCTTTCTTTTGTTACTCTTTTAAATCAGTTCCATCCTTTCCTGTGAATTCTTATACTTGATTGCCAAGCATTGTTTTCGTAAAGTTCTTTCGAGTAGGCTGGAGCTGTGCTTCTCTGGAGTCTAGTTCTAGTTGGCCCTGCGTGTGATATTCGATCAAGATCTAGCGACTGTTTCACTCATCGAAACTTTCCAGGACTGTAGCACACACCAGAGATAATAATTCGCCACCACTGCGAAAGCTCTCTATCGATCACGGGAGTGGGATCTCATGGGTGGAATCATGCCTCCCAAGCTCCACCAAAAGACACACACGAGGAGGCCCATCTTTGTCACCCATTGTTCCTTTGTCCACAAGCAAGCGAGCACGGACGGTAAGCGCATTTGGATTTTTTAAGTAGCGCACACTCGAATGTCGATGGTTGTCATTAGCTAAGAATTCCATTAAGCTAGCAGGGATTTCCATTTGATCGTGTCGAGCTCGTCCAGTCTTTTAAAATTGGATTTTTTTTGGTTATAGGCGAAGAAGTTAACGCATCACGTCAGTGTTCTTGGCGTTTCTTTCTCGAGAGCGACGCCAAGGTTTGGTGTCACGGAATTCCACAATGGAGAAAACCATAGCTTATCTTCGTATAGTTTTTTTCGATGTTCTAACGAACGAACGTGTAAGTTGGAAGAAACCAATTATGACGCAAGGATCGATCCATCGATCGATCTGTCGATCACAAAAAGGAAAGGAGAAAAGAAAGAAAATGATGTAAAGTTTGGAATGGTGCATTGGATCCAACGCACTATTCTTTGTGTGTGAATGTAGCGTCTAGCTAGTGGAGAGAAATGATACCCCTTGCATTGCTTTGTCTAGTAACCATAGCAAACACATACCATGGAAAAATCTTTGTATGCTAGCTTTTGCAGGTGTCACGATGCCAAGCATTAATCACTGATTCGGAAATAGAATAATCTGTCCTAAAATATCTACACTTAAAAAATAATATTTGAGTTTAAACTTATATAATTTGAGAAAAATACAAAAAATAATGTGACAATTATTTATTAATGTTGTCTTGAAAAGAATTTGTATAGGAAAGAATTTATAATGTACACCGCCTCTGGAAGACCCTCGATTTTGGTGCTTTTTTCGCGGGGTCAAAAAGAATGATCTATATGAAAGAGCTTATGAGAGACCACGCCGGGAGAAAGAGAGAGGAACGCACAAAACCTGTGTTTGCCGAGGCACGATGAAAGGGGAAAAAAAATAAAAAAATCTCTCCAATGCCCAAAAATGCTGCTGCTGCTGCTGCTATGATCCAATTTGATCTTCGCGCGAAGAAACTATTGCTCGTGAGAGCTGTGATCCTCGTTGCTGTGATCTCTTCCCTGGTGATGATGATGCTGACCTTGGTGCTCGCCTAGATCTTGGTGGTGTTGATGCTGCTGTTCTTGCTGTTGCGTCATGTTCCTCGTGTAGGCGCTCAGCGCGCTCAGCATTCCCAGATGCCCGTGCTCGATCGAGGACGAGGAGGCCGGCATGGAGGAGAGCACGTACGAGGACGATGGCTGCTGCATCGAGCTCAAATTCATATGCCCCAAGAGGTGGTGGTGGAGATTGTGGCTGCCCATTGCCGGATTCGAGGAATTGGAGTTGGAATTGCTGGAATCCATGGCCGAGAGCGCCGAGCTTGGTAGATCCAATCCCCCAGCCCTAATAAACATCTGGGACGACGCCGGGGAAGGGAACCACACTTGCTGCTCGCTCGCAGGCAGCATCCAAATGGCGGGAGAGTTCCATAGCGCCGGAATATGCCCTGGTTGTGGGGACGGTATATGCCCCTGCCGTCTCCCGCCGTCCGGGTCTTCTTTGAGCTGGTGGCCCAGCAGCATCGGGATGGACGGAATGTCCGCCCGGATCCTCTTGCCGAACCTCCCGCCCTGATCGTCGCCGTCCTCTCCATCCGGATCCAACGGCCGGGACTCGTGCTCCGCGGAGGAAGGCCCCAGCTGCTGGAACGCCATGAGCGGGTGGTGATGGGCGGTTGGGTCGTAGCCAGCGGGTGCCGACAGCCCCGATCGCTCCACGCTGGATGCCGCCGGCGGTGGCGGCAGTGCCGGGCTGTAGACGCCGCTGGCCGCAGTGTAGCCCAGCGGCATACCGCGCGACTCGGCGGTGCTGCTGCGCGGTACCTGTTCGATGGTGCTGCTGCCGCTGCGCGAGAGCCCAGCCATGCCGTGCGGCTTACCGCGCAGTAGCAGCCCGCCGCTTTGCATGGCCAGCGCGGGGATGGTGCCGGTGCCCGTAGCGGCGATGATGGCCTGCTCGGAGTGGCGGAGCAGCCACTCTATCGTCTCGCCATCGGATTTGTGACCTAATTCCCGCGTGAGTTGGAAGATCCGCGCGGCGCAAGTCGCGGGCATCCGGATCCGCCGCCCCCGCCCCTCCACCTTGGTGTGGCGGTCTTTGTTGGAGGATCTCTTAGGCGGCGGCTTCTTGGGCGGCGGTGGCGCGGCCGGCGGCGCCGCGCCACCGCCGGGGTCCTGGATCGAGGATGTGGACGACGAATCCATGGAGTTTGCTGCTCGCATTTCCTCCTCCCTGGGACCCCAGCGATCGCGAATTCTCGCGAATTCTTCTTTCTGGCCTGTGCTGGATGCTGGAGCCCTCTAATCTATTCCCTGCCCGACTGCCGTGCCCACCAAGCAAGCTCTTTGCCTAGTCCCCGGAGAATTCTATCGCTCTCGCCCACCAAGCTCTTGTCCAGACCTGGAATTGTGTCGCTCTCCCGGGGAAGAGGGAGCGATCTTAGATTCTACTTTAGTTCGTCGCTATAGATTCCGGCGATGGAAATTCTTCGCTTCGCGCCCCCGCGATCGTGGTGCCGCCGCCATCCGCCACAATGAGGAGCCACCTAAACACCATCAAGGAACGAGGAATTCCAGCTCCAGGGAGAAGAGAATTGCCAGCCAAGGATCGAGGAGGAAGTGAAGAGCGCTCAAGAGCAATCACTCACTGGTGGAGGAAGGGCGCGGCATTGTGGTGGCAGGAAGAAGGATTTGGGCAATTGGCGGTGGTGGAGAGAATTTAAAGCTGCGACGCTGCCACACAGATCTATCATCTACCAGCGAGACTGCGACGCGGCGGCGATGGATAATCGCGGGCCATGGGAGGGATGGGCTCCTCTCGACGAAGAAGAACTGGCCCCAGGTTACAATCCAGGAAGAAGAAGAAGAAAGCGGAGCTTCCTAGAGAGAGCGAGTGATCCACAAGAGGGGAGGGGAAAAAAAACAAAGAGAGAGTGAGAGAGAGAGAGAGAGAAAAGAAAGATAGAGGGAAAAGTGGGGACCCCACGTTCTGTCCTCTTTGTTGCATTGCTCGCCTGTTCATCGCTGCTCCAGGATTAAATTAGGGTTTCGCGGCCCAGGTTTTCTTTTCAATTCGCATCCAGATCACCCGCGAGAGAATTAGGGCTCGTGTCACTCTGACGTGGCTAAAAAGCCGGCTGACGTGCCAGGCCACGTGGTGGATCCGACGGCTGGTATCACCCGATCGGACGGCTCGCCGGGTAGACGCGGCGCCGCCTGCGCGGCGCATGTGCGGGTTCTGACGCAGGCGCACGCGGTCCATCATGAGCCTCTGCTGCTCAGCCCTAGCGAAAAAAGAAAACACTACCGGAAAAATACTAAGAAAAATTAAAAGTTTGAAAAGATTTTTGGCGCGCAGTGGGCGGGGACGGCCGGATGCGTCCGGCAACGGACGAAGCCCACACGTGCCACGATGACGCCACGCTGGCGTCAGGGCACACGACGTCGGCGGTTTGCTCGTTCTCTTTCTCTTTAAACGTTTTTTTATAAAATTTTCTCGTTTTCCCGCCAGCCCACGTCGGGCGAGATTGCGAGCTTTTGTTTCGTCGCTACGTGCTTTCTCTCTTGGCCAGCTATCATGGTTTTTCGGACATGATCAACGCCCGAAAGAATAGCTACCCAATTTTATCTATGAAATCAAGGATGAAATTTCTCCGTTCTCGATCTTTTTTGTCACCAAGCAAACAAAAGTCTTGACACGAAACACACACACCAGTTATTCAAAGAGCTTCCATTTTTTTCATTTCGCGAGAGTAGCATTGGATTGGACTGGTAAGTATATAGTCCCCCTCTTCTCTATCGAGAAAGCAGTAAGGAAATTCCCAGAGTGCGTCACCAACAACATTAGCTACTGCGGTGTTGATCATCTCTCTCCCTCCACAGTGAAAAGAAAAGGAAAGGAAAGAACAGGAAAAAAAATAGCCAAAAGCGAAATCACACAAGGAAAATGACCTCAAGTGCATAGCACGCTAGAAGACTTGTGATTAGAAGAGACACTGGTGAACAGCAGCGAGAAAAAGAGAGAACGAGAGAGAGAGAGAGGGGAGGCCCCAGAATGAACAGAGAAGAGAGGAAGTAAAAAAAAGGAGAGCTTTTGCTGGTGCCACTCGAAAATTCGTCTCACGCACGCATTACCTCAGGTTCGGGCTTCCCAGTTATCTCTCCTTTGGACGCATCCTCAACTGGATTCGCAACAACACATTTAGTTGTGGATAGGTTCGCAGGAACAGAGAAAAGAAAAAGAAAAAAACAGAACTTTCACGAACCTCCGTCTTCCTGTAGATCCGACGTCCACAGCGTCAAGTTGTCTCTGAGAAGCTGCATGATCAAAGTGCTGTCCTTGTAGGATTCTTCGCTGAGCGTGTCCAGCTCCGCGATCGCATCGTCAAAAGCTTGCTTGGCTAGCTGGCAAGCGCTGTTGCAACAGCGAAACAAAGCCACAAAGTCAGTTGAAGTGGAGAAAACTAAAAAGAGGACGAGGCGCTCTCACCGATCTGGCGAGTTGAGTATCTCGTAGTAGAAAACTGAGAAGTTTAGTGCCAGCCCAAGCCGAATTGGATGCGTAGGAGGCAGATCGGTCGAAGCAGTATCAGTGGCGGCCTGAAACAACGCACACCCAAAACTTATAGAAACCAAAACAACGATCACGCAAAGAGATTTGCGAGCTTACCTGGTAAGCCTTGAATGATTGATCGGCCGCCTCCTTTCTTTCGTTACCGGTCTTGAACTCCGCGAGATAACGGAAGTAGTCTCCTTTCCTGTTGATAAGAACAAGTCAAGACCCAAAAGGACAAGAGCAACAAAAAAAAAAAAAGAAAAGTATCGCTCACATCTTGTAATAAAACACCGTAGACTCGCCGGTGCTAGATGCGGGGACTAGATGCTCGTCGATGATGGTGAGAATGTCATTGCAAATCGTGGAGAGCTCGTCCTCTACCTTCTGCTGGTAGTCGCCGATCCGCTTCACGTTTTGCTCGTTGCCTTTGCTCTCCTCCTTTTGCTCGATCGAGGACAAGATCCGCCACGACGCTCTCCGTGCGCCGATAACGTTCTTGTACCCCACGGACAGGAGATTTCGTTCCTCCACGGTGAGCTCCACATCGAGCTTGGCGACCTTCTTCATGGATTCGACCATTTCTGCGGGGAAATAGACAAGAGTCACACACAGATCCGAGGGATCGAAGGCGCGAGATTATCGCATCGATCCAGGAGCTCACCGTCGTAGCGCTCTGCTTGCTCGGCAAGCTTGGCCATATAGACAAAGCATTCGCGCTCCTTCTCCATTCCCATGGCGCCGTCGACGATCTGCGATCCGAAGCTCCTGGCTATGGCGGAAGAACAAGGGTTTGCAGGAAATAAACAGGGGGTTTTAATATTCGCTGGATAGGGATTCGAACCCGCGCCATAAGGGTTACGTTTCAGCCGTTGGATCAACGCCCGATCCAACGGCAACGAGATGACATGGAAGAACCCTAAAAAATCACACATCGTCTTCCAGCCGGAGGTACTCTCCCACATCCGCCTGGTGCAGGGCGACGATGTCGTTTGGATCCAGCTTCCTGCAATCGTGCGTGGATTTCGCAGCCAGCCCGAATCCCAGCGGCACATCGGACATGGAATAGATCACAACCCCTTCGTACTGCGGGGTGTTCTCGGTGATCCTTCCAAGCCCGCTCTTGAGGACGTGATTGCCGTAGAGGAAGGACATCTCCGCCGAGGGCTTGAGCCAAATCTTGTGCTTGGAATGCGCCGCCAGGAGATCGAGGCAAGTGATGGTGAGATGGAATTTGCCGCTCTTGGTGTATTTGCCGATGCAAGTGCCCAGCGAGACGAGCTTCTCCCGCGACACATTGGTGGCCTTCTTGACGAGATCCTCGCTCACGTAGTAGACGCGCTGCTTGTGGAGGCGAAAGCAATACCTGCTAGATGTGATGGCGTCCTTGCGCTCCACGATCTGCCGGAGATTGGCGCCCACGAATTTGTGGAGCTTCTCAAACACCACCGTTGTCTCTTGCTCGTCCAGTGGCCTCATTCCCGCGAGCAAGAACCCTAAACCCAGGTTTTACGAGGCCTCGAGTTCGATTCCTTGGGCGAGACCGATTCAAACGTAGGAGGTCTGGTGATCGATTCCTTGGGCGTACAATCTTAGGGCGAGACCGATTCCAGGTTCGAATCCCTGGGAAACAATAAAAAATGTAGGGTTTGTACTCTTTAGATTAGACGCAATGAAAGCATGCAGCTGATCGGTCGAGATGGAGCGCGGCCGGAATCGCGGCGCTGCCAACGCTGCGGCATCGCAATCGCAATCGCAATCGCAATCGTCTCCAGCGCGCGCGTCGGCGTCGAGGTTGAATCTCTCTGTTGCGTGTATTTGGATGGGGAATGCGATTTCTGCGTGGATTCCAGGCGCAAGGATGGAGCTGGAGGTCGGCTGGGGAGTCTCCAGAACGCTCTAGGCCGGCATGTCGACAGGGCGATCTCGGGAATCCACAAGCTCGTGAATGAGAGCCCCGAAATACAAGCGCTGAGGTCTTCTAGACAGGTATAGTGCGTGAAATCTCTTAAATCTTGTGCTGATGGTAGCTAGATTTCTTCCAGAGCGCGAATGGAGAGCTCCCAGGCACCGATTCCACATCATCCAGCGACGAAATCTCTTGGAAGGATTTGTATCGGATAAACTGGACGCCAAAGGAGCTGCGAGTGAAATTCCGGCAGCAAATGGAGGGGTACCAGCTTGGTGCCAACTTTGAGGTAGTAAGGGATGAGGTACTAGAACATAAAAAAGGATGGAAGTCAGTAGAGCGCTCCTTCGATTTTCTTTGCTTCTTTGATCTGCTAAAAGCTTTTTCTTTTGGTTTGCCACAGTTTGATGGGATCCAAGAGCACGGGTGCAACACCAAGATCGTGCTCAAGCCCGTCGGGAACGATCCAAAGTGGAAGCTCATGTTTGAGCCCAAGCAAGGAGATATCCGGCTCATCACAAGGAAAATCCCGATTGGACCGCTCCTAAGTTTCCAGGTACGAATATCTCATACAGTCCACGAGTAAGTTCTTATCGACTTTGCCTTCTCCCAGGTTGGGCTAGGACACGACTTTCGCAGCAGAAAAAGTGGCTGGAAATGGAGAGTGACATCGTCCCTGGGCGATTGTTGGCCAGCGCAAATCAAGCAAAAGACAAGACTGGCAATCTGTCCCGGGTTTGATGTTAGAGTTGGATGGAACGCGGAATACGTCCTACCAGATGTTCATGGGTCAGTACTCACTCTCTTTTGCTTTGTCTTCTCGCCATTAAAAGCTTGGGGGAATTTCGTGACAGGTCCATGGGAGTGGGAGAACCTCCGGTGGGATTGGATCTGGGACATCTCAGTGCATCGCTAGATCGAGTGGAAGCCATATTCACGCACGCAACGTGAGAGGTATAGCTTGTAGGTACGCGCATTCTTTCTGTACAGTAAATTCTCTGTGGTCGAAGTTACGTAAAGAACGAATCGGCGCAGCTGGATTTTTCCAGGCACTGCACGCTTTTGTAAGTGAAAACTTCTTTAGATTTCCTGAGGCTTATTTACTTCCCATGGTTTTGTTAGCTTGTTCAAATCAAAAAACCTTTACACCTGCCTCCACTGTGAAGTAGACTCCACCAACAGGGAAGCCCAGAGAGTACTCGTCCGAGAACTTACGAACGCTGAATTGCTGCCTTCTCGTGATCTTGCCAGCCGTGATCTTACCCTTCTGCAACGCGAGAGTGAGCCTAGAATCATAGAGTTCCCGCTAGAAACTTGGAGAGCAATCTAGTACCTGCTTGAAAACGAGAATGTAGTAGCGATGGACACCCATAGGAGGCGAAGGGCCAGCATAGGAGACCGCGTTTGTACCGTGCTTGAATACATCTAAATGTTTCGCAATCTAAGTTCCTGGAATGATAGAAATGAAAAGAAAAGATAAGTACCTTTTGTTCCTGTCGGAATGTTTGTGACGATCCAGTGCAAGACGTTCCTGTAGATTGGTTTCTCGGGACTGACAGCATCCGGATCCACCATAAGTAGCGTGAAGAGATCTCCTTTCTTGGCGTGGATGTCTGAGATGCTCACCACTGGAGGCTTTTGAGTATCAGCTTGCTTGAACATCTGGCCCGTGGTGGTGACTGCTCGAGAGCCGAAAGTGGCCGAGACCGAAACGTAGGGGCTGTCATAGGAATCCACCCAGGCTGGAATGATAGTCTGGAAATTGATGTCCGGCGAGCTTACGTCCAGCAAAGATCGTGCTGCCGATGCTGCTGTGTGAGCCTCTACAAGGAAGATCGCCGATGCTACTAGAGCAGCGAGGAAAGTCGCCATTTCCCCGTAGTGCTTACGACAGTCCTCGAAGAAAAATCTCCTCTTTAGAAGGCCGTCGGATGAAATGGCCACGATTGAGATTGGGATAAACAGCCTCTTACAAGCTGACCAGATCCTGTAACGAAATGCTTGACTTTTACTTTTCGTAAGAAGGAAAAAGAAAATGGTACCTCAAGATTTGTAGCCAAGGAACGAACCTCCACGGACTTTGCAGCCACTGAGAAAGTAGAGTACCAAAGATAAGTAGGAGTGAGAGAACTCGTACCGGGCCAGCTCGAGCAAACACGTGTCCGTCACACCGGACGCTTGACAAGATCCTTGGACTCTTGTTCTCTTTCAGCTCTCGCGAGTTCATCCACGAGGAACTTGATGATAGCCGCGCTGGGAGTAAGCACCTTCTTCATCTCGGAGAGAACTCGCACAGCTCGGTCGGTCTGTCCCAGCCGACAGAATCCTTGAATCAGAATGTTGAAAGTAGCCTCATTCACCACGAACTCGTTCCTCTTCATCTCCCTGAGAAGCTCGTAAACCATCTGAAGGTTCCGCGTCCTGAAAAGTCCTTTCAAGAGGGTGTTGTATGCAACTATGCTTTGGATTCCCCACTTGCTTTTCAGCTCCTGGAGGACGTTACGGGCCTCTTCCACCTGATCCTGGTTTGAGTAAGCTGCGATCAGGCCAACGTACCAGAGCTCGTCGGGGAAACAACCGGTGTGGCTTATCAGCCTTCGAAGGACCACATGAGCTTCGCTTGGCTTCCCTGCTTTGAAGAGAGCGTTCAAGAGTGTGCTGTACGTACCAACTGAAGGTTTGGAGCCGAGCCTCACCATTTCCTCAAGAAAAGCCATGGCTACGACGGCCTTATCTTGACGACACATCGCTCCGACCAGAGCGTCAACTGTAGAGCCATCCGGCTTGAGTCCTGCTCCGATCATATCTTCAAGTAGCTGACGAGCTTCCGCTAAGTTGTTCTCTTTGCAGAGGCTCTCGATCACAGTCGCGTAGAAAAAACCCGTTGGAGAATTCCCCGTAGCAAGAACGGCGCGAAGAACACGTTGAGCTTGCTCGAGACAGCGGAGGCTGGCTATGACAACGTTGCAGCTTGTTTCACTGATTTCGATTCCCTGTTCCAGTGATCGGACGTAAAGATCACATGCTTCGTCTGTTCTGCTCCATCGGCAAAGCCCCACTATCAGTGTTCCATACGTGATACCATCCGGTGAGCAGCCTCTTTCAGTCATCTCCTTCACGCGCAGCTTTGCATCACAGAGTCTGCCCGTCTTGCATAGGCCGTAGATGAGGGAGTTGTAGACAGCGAGATTTGGTTGGCAACCGTTCGCAACCATACTGTCGAAAACAGTTGAAGCAGCATCCAACTCGCCTGCTCTACAAAGCCCAGAGATGACAGAGCTGTAAACTGGAACTTTTGGTAAGATTTTCTTGCCAACCATTTCTTCCAGATACGAGTGGGCTTCGGATGCTCTTCCAGCGTTGCAAAGTCCTCGGATGAGAGTGCTGTAAGTCACTACATCGGGATGTTGTCCTGCTGTGACCATCTCTAGAAAGAGCTGATGAGCGTCGTTGACACGAGCGGCTTTGGAAAAGCCATCGATCAGGGTGTTGTAAGAAACAACGTCGGGAGTACAGCCATCTTCATTGCGTAGAGTTCCCAAAAGGTCGCGAGCCTCGCTCAGCCGCTTTGCTCTACAAAGACCAGCAATGAGGATGTCATAAGTGAAGATGTCTGGAACAAAATCGTTACTTTTCATCTCCTCTAGCAGCTCGTATGCCCTGTCAATCTCTTGCAGCCTGCAGTGTCCATGAATGAGCGTGTTGTACGTAAGGTTGTCGCCCTGGTAACCCTTGCGTTTCATGTCCTCGAGAAGATGGTAAGCTTTTCCCATATCACCGGCTTTGCAGTGTCCACCGATGACTGAGGTGTAATTCGCGAGCGTCGGGACCGGCATCTCCTGGAGAACCCGTTCCGCTTCTGCTACTTTCCCAGCCTTCACGAGGCCATTTATAACCACCGTGTAAGTCCAGTTGTTTGGAATCGCGGTATGCTTCATCTCTTCGAAGTAGTAGCAAGCCTCGTCGACTCTGATCGCCCTGAAAAGCCCGTCTATGAGAATGGTCCATGTCGCAGCACACGGAATGCTCGACATTTTCTCAAAGTAGCGGAGTGCCAACTCTAGATTCCCGGACTTGCACAGCGCGTTGAGAAGAAACTTGCACGTAAGAACCACCGGCCTGAGTCCTCGATCCACCATCTCCTCATACAGACTACACGCCAGCTTCAGCTTTCCAAAGTTGCATAGCCCCCGAATCAGTATACCATAGGTGATCGAATCGGGTATAAGCTCCTGCGGCCACTTCTCTTTGAAAAGCCTGTATGCTTCCTCACACTGGCCAGTCCGGATGAGAGCCTCGTAGAAACAATTGTATGTGTGGACAGTGTGCCTGAAATCCTGCCTCGTTCCAGCCCAGCCGAAGAAAACCATCGCGGACTCTCCATTTTTCACCATATGTAGAATCACTCCCACGAGTCTCTGCGAGAGCTGGCCGTTCCATTTCATCGAGAATCCCAATCTGGAGCTGCTCTCGACGATCTGGAGGAGCTGACGCACGTCCCTACGTTCCTCTAGAGTTAAAGCCCTGCTACTTCCATTGCTACTGCTACTAGCTACCTTATTCACCGCGAGCGAGCAAAACGTACCGATTCGATTGGAGCGAAGCGCTCGGAGGCCGATCGATGACGATAATCCGACGGCGCGGCCGCATAATCTACACCTTCCAAGAACTAGCTGCAAGGATTTGAAGCCGGATCTTCGCAGGCGCCCGGCGGAGGCGCATTTTCCAGCTCCACCGCCGGGAATTCTAGGCGCGCAGTGATCTAGATCGAGGAAGCTGGATCGAGCGCCGCCGCTGGAGAGCGCATTCATCCCTGGCTCTTGCCGCCCTCCTCCCCTGTTATTAGGGCTAGCACAGCGTTGTAAGATCTCATCGAGTGAATAGGTCGTGGTAGGGTTTGGATGCGGCGATAGCGATAGCGATAGCGCGACGATTTGGGATCGCGGCGATGCTGCGAGGGCGGATTGGAGGCCAAGACGAGGAGGACGTGGAACCGGCACTGGACGGGCTCGCTACCGCCGCTGTGGCCGATCGAATCGTCCAGGTATTTCTCCATCGGGATCGAATGTGAGCTGAAATCGAGTGTTTCGATCATGGCAGAGGCTTGCTGGATCGGGATTTCCAGAGGATTTGGCGAGGAGGCAGGGATTCGGCGAGTATGTGAGGGAGCATCCGGCCGAGCTGCGGCGCTTGGCGACGGTGATTCTTCCGGGGAATCCAGAGGTGGAGCTCTTGACGCCGGAGGGCAGCGATGATAGCCAGCTACTCTCGGCTCGCCAGGCCATCCAGGCTCAATGCCGGGAGGCGCTGGGGTGGCTGTTATGGTGCGCCTTTGACAGGGATTTAGCGTCCGGGCTGGAAGAGGTGAAGGCACAGTGTGGCGCTAGAGGCGTGTGTGGAGCAGTATGGGGGGTGAACGACATAGCTTACCGGTGCCACACTTGCGAGCACGATCCAACTTGTGCTATCTGTGTACCGTGCTTTCAAGCTGGCGATCACAGTACGCACGACTACTCGATGATCCGGACTAGCGGCGGATGCTGCGACTGCGGTGATGGTACTGCCTGGAAGGAAAGTGGATTTTGCTCGAGACATCGGGGACCCGGGAAAGTCCCTCCACTGTCCGAGGGTATGGTGGCTCGGTTGGGTCCGGTGCTGGAGGCAATGCTGCTGGAATGGAAGGACAGGCTCTCGGCTGCTGTGACGGCTTCTTCCGGAAGGCCTAGGAAGTGGTCGACTATGAGCCCGGAGGAGAAGCTTGCGTCACCGCTGTCGATGAGTATTATCAGCTTGCTGCTGGAGTTTTGCAACTGTAGCGAAAGTATGCTGAGCTTCACGGCCGAGAAGCTGAGTAGCAGTGATATCGGCTTGCTCGACATCCTGCTCACTGCTGAGTTTCTTCTGCCGAAAAACGTCTATACGAAGCTGCATGAGTTGCTCTATAAGCTACTCGGGGATCCAAACTTCAAGTACCGGTTTGCTCAGACTTTTATCAAGCGCTACCCCAAGTTTCTACGTGAGTCTCTGCAAGAAGAACAGATGTTGGCAAGGCAGCCAAGGGAGCACAGCATACTTGGCAGCTTCTCGGTACAGATCTTCACCGTGCCG